AAGTGTCGCTATGTACTTTCACAATGTAGCTTACGCAAGAAAATCGAGTTTTCCGACTGTAATATCACACTATTCAAACAAAAAACTTACGTATTCGATGTGTACATTTTCTTATTCTTATTGACTTGATAATGACGTTACCTAAACGTCGAAACGTCGTCTTTTATTTAAATGTTTTTAAAACATAGTTTTTTATCGCTGAATTTTAATGTTTATTACTTTGATAATTACGAATAGATAAATAGCTATGAACGGATAGAGATTGTATTATATCCAGGGTAGGGCAGCATGGGCGAGTGATCATCGTCCGGAGCTGTAGTTTTCCTGATTTCTTATTAGTTCACATTCAGTTTTTCGACCATGCTCGTAAATAGCCATCTGGTTCGCCTCCTTGCCAGTTGGTTTTGTAAAAAATACTTTATGTTTCTATTTCTTCATTTCAGCTTATTCATTTTTGTAAGAGCATTGAGACTTTTTTAGAATGCTCCTAATAGAGTTATATACTAATAATTAATTACTCATTTACTTTCTAATTACCCTATCTCTAGTATACAAATGACTTCAGGATCTTCAAAACACCAAAACGCTGGACCACCCACCACCATGGCAACAACTAACTTAACGTCTAAACCAGTACCACAAAGTTATAGCCAAGCCATAGTTCCCACTACACAACTCATGTCTCTCAAACGTGTCCTGGGTATTCCTCGTGCTTCGTCTATGGTGACAGGAACCATGATTGGTTCGGGGATCTTTATATCAGCGCGTTGGGTTCTGGTATACAGTGGGTCGGTTGGTTTGGCGTTCTTTGTATGGCTTTTATGTGCATTGGTGTCCTTCATCGGAGGACTGTGTTGGGTAGAGCTGGGATTAACCTTTCCCAAGTGTGGTGGTAAGTTTTAGAATAGACCCCTTTCGAATTCCAAATTACCGCTGTGTTTCTTGATTACAGAATCATTTGCACAGGGTTAGCCTCGAGTTTGTGCAGAATATTCACGTGTTCCAGTCAAGGTCCGTCGAGTTTCAAAGTGTTTGTATTGTTGAAGTTGTGCATTCTTCACTTTTCTGTTGGTATTTGTGAATATTTAAACACTGATACGAGGCTAACCCTGTGCAAATGAGTATGTAATCAAGGAACACAGCGGTAATTTGGAATTCGAAACTGGTCTATTATAATAATATATGAAAATATCGAATCCACGCAAATAACAAATCGCCAAGTCAATAATTCATTTCAGATATTTCAAATTCAAATGCAATCATTATTTTTAAATTATCTGCAATGTCATCTGCTAAATTACTTTCCATCTTTATATTATTTAGGTGAATATATTCTCATTAAACACACTCTTGGATCAGTTCCTGCCTTTGCCTTGATATGGCTTAAAACCCTCATCACCACGCCCTGTTCAAGAGCAATTAGTCTACTCACATTTGCGTCTTATGTTCTCGGGCCATTCTTTCCCGGCTGCACCGACCGAGTGGACCTGGTACTTCTTCTGAAGATCATAGCAGTCTGGTCCTTATGTAAGTTGCTTGGGCAACTGCAGGTTATTGGTGGATTTGAATTTGTCAAAAAGACCTGCATTTGTAGTATACAGGGAATCTACTGTACGCCAGGTGTGAAGCGTGACTAGGAAATTCGGGAGGAATTCTCCTGTCATGAAAAATAAATAAAATATTTAAAAATAAGAAAAAATTAAAAAAAAAAAAAAAAAAAAAAAAAAAAAAAAAAAAAAAAATCTACATAAACTTCTACAAACCTTAGGTTAATGAAGTTAATTCATGTTGACGAAGAAAGTTTAATGTTGGTTATGTTGCATGTTTTCTTTTATAAATGGACCTTTAACTTTCCCGACTAGATTCGCTTGATGAATCAATGCAAACTTCAGCCAAATTAAAACAGGTTATTTTTGATAAAATACAGCAATGTCCTGTGTCGTTATCAGAATAGACCATAGTCGAGGCTACTCTTGAGCAACAGGAAAACTCGAAGCTGGATTACATGAACTAATAGGCCTATTTGACTATTACTTATTTTTCCCATTGAACAACAAAAATATGATTTTATTCATATTGGAACCTTTTCGCATTACACAATTCGCAGTGCACAACCTAAAGAAATGGCATGAGAAATTGTGCCCATGTTATAGATTTCTCAAAGTTTTCTTAATGAAAGAAAATACCCAAGGGGATGGCACATTGTGTTCACAAATGAAAGAAATAATAATAAGCACGAGCTGAATGTGTCTGTTTTCTTTAAAACCAGGTACATTATGTCTACTCAACTGCCTGAGTGCTAACTGGGCAACTCGTGTTCAGATAGTCTTCACGGCTGGTAAATTCCTTGCTCTGATGTTACTAATTGGTACGGGGTTTTATAGTCTTGCTCAAGGTTAGTATATATATATATACATACACAAGTGAATACTACATATTTTAAAAATCCAGGCAGCAGATTCCATCTTTCGTTTCCAGGCCACACATCAAGCTTCAAGGACTCGTTCAAAGACACCACGACTCATGTAGGAATGGTTGGACTTGCTTTTCAGAGTGGACTCTGGGCTTATGAAGGATGGTACGTATATGATAGTAATTCACTTCACGTATTTGTATAGCTTTTTCCATGAGCAAATACACTCCATTGGGAAGGGAGGCGAGGTCCAGAAAAGGATCCAGGGCTAACTCAAGTGCCTCTTGCTTGTTATTGTTTTCTTTGGTATGGCAGTAGCCAGTTGTAGGATATGTACTGAACCTAAAAGTACTCCAAAGTACTCCAGTGTTTTGACGAGTATCTATAAATCTCTTGAGGCATTTGGAAAATTAAGTACAAGTGTTTGTTAGGTTGGAATAGTGCATGGTTAGTGATATGAACAAAGGAAAACTATTAAGCATTTTGTGTGTGCGTAACTAAACCCCAAATCTAAATTCAATATAGAACTGTGTAGTTGTAGAATACATTCTCTAAAACAATCTCTATCTTGAGGTTAAAACTGCTCAACCAGCGGCCAAAAAACCGTGGCCGCCTTTTTTAACGATATAAAGAAAATTTTTCAACAATTATTGCGCACTTGTTAAATTTAACCTAACCGAAAACTAGAACACCGTCTATAAATATTATCAGACACGGTTTTGCTGAGTTACACTTTATATTAAAGATGACAAGTAAAGTCGTCTTTAAACTGGTGTCTTCTTTTGATTGACAGGGATAACCTTAATGACGTCATTGAAGAAGTTAAGAACCCCAAGAGGTAATCTTATGCAGGTTTGGTATAACTTGAAATGAATATGAAACAAGTGGGTTTTTTTGTTGTTGTTGTTGCTGTTTGATGTGGCTGTTGTGCTTTTCAGATTTATATTTTTTCTGCCGTTCTTTCACTCAAAGACGACACACAAAACACTTCAAATTAGCATAGAAGAAATCAAAAAAAAGGCATTAAAAAATATGTGGTATAAGCTTCCTCAGAGGGACGCCGACTCCGCGGTAGTTTTGTTTCTACTTGTATTACAAATGGGAGGGAGGTGGGCAGGATACGCTGCTAGCAACTTCATATCCGTCAGTATTGTTTTTTTACGTAATTTACAGAAACATGCCATGGTCAGTTCTCGGTAGCGTTTTCCTGGTAACCTGTTGTTATTTTCTGGTTAATTTGGGATACTTGGCTGTTTTGACTCCACAAGAATTAAAGGAATCCCCAGCAACTGCAGTGGTGAGTTCGATGCTAGTTACTATGACATATTATATAAATTTATGCACTGCCTAAAAGCGGAGCTCCCAATAGCACAGAGAGCCCAATTTAGATAAAACTGAAAGATGAAAATAAGATCGGGCAAAAAATCGTCAATGTTTTCTCTCCATCAAGATGAAGATAATGTCCCCCATAACGAAAATTATGAAGCGAAAAAATGAAATGGGAATGCACTACATCGTTTTCTTCGCACGAGTCTTTGTTTTCGACCTTAGTACTCTCCCACTTATAGGAATTTTGTCACATGTACACTACCCACCACCGCCCACCCTAAGGGCTAGTTTTGTTCTTGAAAAATTATTCCGCAAAGATTTCCATGGCCGACATTTTTACACTTTGAATTCCTTGTTAATTTTACTTGAAAAACGAAAGATAAATACAGATAATCCAAAAAAATGTCAAGTTTACCTTGGATGTCTTTCATTAAAATCCAAATTTCGAAGATTTCCTAACTTTTCATGGACAAATGAACACGGCACATAAAGACAGAGTAGAAAACTGCTTAAGAAAAGGTTAGCAAAACATAAGCTTATTTTAACATAACAATGTTTGGTTATCCATATGCAGAATTTAGGTTTTCATAAGAACCTTATTTTTACCGCAATGAAATTAAGAAAATAAATGATTTGGTAGCATCGGAGAGAAAATTTTCTCTCAACAACACAAATTTAAAGCTCATTTGTATAATCATACTAGTTCCTTGGTGCAATTTTACATGCCATTCAATATTTAAATAAACTATCTGTAGAAAGATAAAATTATAAATGAAAGTCTTCTTTTGTTTGGCGTTGGGACCCCGCGATAGGAGGCGAACAAAGCTGCATTTTTCTTGAACGAAAAACATACGATAGTTGGTTAAAGAGAACCGAATTGTTAAAGATTTACAAAGCTAAATAAAGGACGAATATTTGTTGTAATATTTGCTCTCCGGATTATATTTCACAGCATTAAAATCAATTAAGCTTATCTATAGAAGTATTAAAAGTTTTGAGAGAAATTGTTTGATTTGTCGATACCAATTCTTGTCATAAACTGAATAATGATATACGACTGTTTGCTAAAAAACACACACCTGACTTCTTGCAGAACACTTCTTGATCCACCTTTGACTAAGTTTTTTTTAATTTTTTGTTGGTAATTAGCCCTAAAGCTACTTTTTCTGTGCATTTGAGAGCCGCATTTGCGAGTAGTTTTGCTTTGATATCAAGCGGGATTCCTGTGTTGTGTACACGGACGGACGGACGGAAGTGACGTTAGGCAAGCCATGAAAAATCAACTCGAAAGTTTACAATTTTTTCTTAAGTATGGTGCTCCGCTATAATTCATTAATTACTTTGTTTTAACTAATGCCAAGCGCTTATTAGTAACGTTTTTTTTTTCATTTTGGTGGCCAAAAAATCTATAATTTTTAGGAGAAAAAAGACAACTCAGCTTTGCAAATTTGTTCAATTCTGATTGGCTAAAAAATGTTCTCAGATCAGTTCGACAACCCGTGCTTTTAATTTGAAAGAAAATTTTGCACGAGTCTGAAAAACTGAAGATAACGTGCGCAAGCATTTGGGTTATTTTAGCAGTGATCTTGTGAGATGTTATTGCGGCTGAAGTAATGTCGCCATTTTAGTACTGTGAAAGTACTGTGATTTTACTATCATATAAACGTACGCTATTTATATACACTGTCGTTGTTACTATCCAATCACAAAACATAGATAGGGTGCAGTATAGGGCTATGATATATAACAAAAATGCTATAAACATACTTTTCCCAAAACTTAATCTTAACATACAAGGAATTCCTCGTATGTCGGCAAATTACTTACTATCAATCAAATACATAATTGCATTATTGGTCATTAAAATCTTTTTTTTTTCTTTTGTCATGAATTGGCTCTATTTCAGGCCGTAGTTCAACGTGTGTACGGTTTCCAAGTGGCATGGATCGTACCCGTGTTAGTAGCGTGTTCTATTTTTGGCTCTTCAAATGGGAGTTATTTCTCTTCAGCAAGTTAAGTATATACAATTTTGTAAATATACAATGTGTGAGTAGAGACATTGAGTAGTGATAGTCAGAACACCTCGTCAGACTCATAGTGATCTTTTTTTTTTTTTCTTTTAATTTAATTTAATTTTATTACTTATCATTTTCATTATTTTGCTATTTAACAAAATTATCACTTCACATTCTCGTACCCAGACCTTTCTCAATCAGAAGGGTCTGGGTACGAGAAAGATTACTTCAACACTTTTTATAGATAAATCAAATTTGAATTTGAATTTGAATTTCATCAAATTAGCTGTGGTTGCTATTTAGCAGTTCAATATCTTGTATGTAGATCTTGTTATTCAATTCGTTAAATTCCAAGAGTGGTTTTTTTTAAATCTCCTTAAATTTTCTAATATTAATTATGATTGCTAAATTATAATTATGGGGAGAAGTTGCTCTCTATTATATAATATGAATATAGCCGTTGTGCATATTGATCTTCTTTAAAATGGGTCATCATTTTTGTTCTTCAATCTCTTTCTCCACAGGGTGACGCTGTCTGCAGCTCGCGAAGGTCATCTTCCAGCAGTCCTGGCCATGATTCACACCAACAAGAGAACACCTATTCCTGCTTTGCTGTTATCAGTATGAATAGTTAACATATTAATTCAGGACTGAGATTTTGTAGAGAGAAAACGGTCTCCATCCTCCTGTTAGTTCTCCTTGCTTTGATCCTCGTGCCAAAGTCCTTAGGAATGTTATTGTTCTGTTGCCCAGTCGAGCGTCTACAGGCAAACACAATCTCCTATTAGTTCTCCTTGCTTTGAGCCTCGTGCCAAAGTCCTTGGGAATGTTATTGCTTCATGAGCGTATAAACTTTTCAAGTCGTACTTGCAATTTCTTCATATTTCTTTTGCTTGTAGACTATCACGGCATGCTTATTCTTGATACCAAAAACTAGTACCGTTCAGAATTTGATGAAAGTCTTCAGCGCTGCTACATGGCTGACTCACATATTGACGCTGATTGGTTTGCTGTGGACGAGATACAAAAGACCTGATTTACCAAGACCTTTTAAGGTAAGAGAGATTTGAATGTATATGTTCAGGGATGTCCAAGGAATCCTTTGGCAAAAACTATAGGAAAGACCGTGTGTTACAATAGGACGTTTGCATGATCTGCTACCAGACTCCCTTGCACACTTTCTTTTGTTCAGTTAATTGTCCTATTTCATAATGACGTCACATGAAAACAAGCTTTTGTCTTAACGCTAGGGATCATGGTCGCTGGATGGGGATTGGATGGCAAAAACACATCTTTAGGTGGAACCAAACTAATTCAGAGCGAATTTTGGACAATTTTATTCTCGCTCGCTTCGCAAAACAAATGCGTCAATTTAACTGTATTTTTCATATAATGTACTTTAATTATCCTAGATTCTAACAGTGTACTTTATTTTAAGATTTTTTAAATGTTTAACCTATTACGGCCGAAAATCAAACAGTGCTATTTTTAGTTTTTGGCTTTTTTCTCCTCATCCCCAGGTATGATTTTTCTGAAATTTTCGGAATCTTATCATCTAGCACTATTGCAGCCTGTGTATAAATTTGGATGGAAAGTCTTGGGCAGAAAAAAAGTTATGACGCCGCTTGAAAATTCGATCCAAAATTTGAAGCATATAAGACACCGCGCTGTAGAAACACCACCATTGAATGAATTGCCTTGAAGTTTTTCCATATCTATTTCCAAGTATTACGGATGAGCCTTACGAAAAATCAGCATCAAATCTTTTACTAATTGTCGTTGTAAACCTCAAATATTAGAGTTTTGCTAAAAATCACATTCTCGCCTTTTTCTTCGAAACGGCTCCAAGTTTTTTCTTTAAACTTCCTACATCAATAGACCAGAGCTTTATCTAGATGGTAGTGAAATTTCTACAGCTCGTCCTATCCACATTTTTCAAAATTTCTATCATTTTAGCCGATGTAAACAAACCGTGACGTCATTATGGAATAGAGCAATTAGCACCCATTTTCTTACTATTCTCATGAGGGAATGCAAATTTAAATAAGAAAGAAAATTCGAGGAGCATCTTGGTAGTGGGAGTGAAATGACGCCATCATGCAAGCGTCCTATTACATTGCTAAACCTAGTTTCTTCTACCGTTAAAAATGGCTCGTTTCTACCATCGATGTAATCATCGCTGGGACTAGCTAAATTGCAAATCTTTTTTTTTTTTTTTTTTTGTCACTGAAATAAAAGGCACTTCATTATTTCTTTCATTACCATCAGGAACATTGGCTACTATGAATAGTCTTAGCTTAGATGGTGTGTC